TATAGTTTGATATTAGAGAAGTAGGCATTGCCAATCTCGAACATCCCACAACTAAAGGACCGTTCCTGATGGGAGCTCTTGTCTATGGCATGAAAATTACATAAAAACCACTACTGCATTTATCTACATAGTTTCATATATTGTTAACATACATTGAAAGTATATTTGTTTTGAAAGTAATTCTACCATCAATCATGCATTTTGAAGCAGGTACTCTCTATAAAGGGGATTATCAGCAGCAGCGATTATCGTTTCGTCAATGGGCTTACACGCTTCAGATCCTAACACTGATCTCTCGTCCAAGTCGTCAGCCTCTAAATAAGTGTTTGTATGCTCCCCACGACGGCCGTGAACCCAGTACGTTTCCATGACTCCTTTTCCCTTGAAAACTCACAGATGACCATTGCAACAGATGAGTTTTAGTGCAAGAAATTTACCTTTATTAGTACATCTCCGCGGCTTTCCGTGTCGTATATTCCAGCAAAATGACGTTCCAGTAGCATAAATGAGCTGTTGCTGAGATGAATTTTCCCTGCTGCAATAAACTGAATTCAATGAACTAGAATTTACAAATTTTTGTAATCTAACGAGCTTTGTTTTCAATATGTCTGGAGAGCGGTTTATAATAAAGTTTTTTTTTCGGCGAATGTTCATTGCTATTGAAGCTCGTAATGATATAAGTCTGAGTGGTAAATTCAAACATGTTTGCAGCATATTTTAGAAAAGAAGTGTAGTGTAATAAGTACAAAGCAAAAATTCCTTTTTATTGGCTTTCCATCATGAAGTTTGGAAAGCGATGCAAAAGCCAAGATTCGTTTGAGTCGTCAGATTGCAAGTCATTTATGCGATTGTCGTCCACGCCATCATTAGTAGTGTATTTAAATGGAAAGCATCAACAAAAATCGCAAAGGTGCATCGCCAATTCACAATCGAATATGTCGCCACATATGCCGTGGAACTATTACTAAAAAGCTTTCACAAAAAAGGTGGAAGTTCTTAAGATGTTAGTTAAGATTGCCTTACGCATACGGTATTTTTTTGAGATTCAAACTAGCGATTCGCATCAAAAAGTAAAATTTGTTGTTCCAAGAGATTTTTTTCCGAAATTACAAAAAAAGGGCAAGTAGACAAATCTTTTTGTGGCTTCAGCTACCACCGCAGACTACTGGGGACCATAAGTCTTCGTTTGCAAGCTTAGAGTTCGAGACGGGACAACAAAAGTGATGTATTTTAACTTAGGCGCCTTGCAAAAAGTGATGGTGGTTTTTATTATACTATGGTGGTTGACAAGAAAAAGCAAACAAATTTTCTTAGTTCACAACAACACAGTTGAAAAACTGTTTTTTTTTCAATCAGTATTCAAAGAACAACGCAGCAATGCATAACAATGAACAATGCAGCATAACATAACACTTTTCAAACAATCTTCGTTCAATTTTTTATCCTTGTCCCAATTTCCCGCCTATACTTCTTCCAAAAGGTACTTCCAAAAGGTTGAGATGTTAGAGTCGTCTTCTTACATGAAAGTGAACTTGTGAACAACATTGAAATAACGTGTGCGGGATTCAGCGATTCTCAGATCCTCGAAGGGTTATTCTTTGTATTTTTGCGCAATCACGTATTTCTCTATCGGATCAACCAAGTGGGGAAATGGGGAAAACGCCGAGGAAAACAAAGAGATTTAATGAATGACGAGAGTAACGGACAAGGTAGGGATCTCAAAATGTTGGAATTGAGCACTGGGAATGAACAGCAAAATCAGTTCTTTTGTACTTGAATAGAAAGCGTCTTTGAAAGAAAAGCCGTTTTGGCATGTTGATTTTGAGTTTCTTACAGTGCAATGTTGCGAGCGGAATGTTTTCAAAGCTGAGATAGTCTTCCCGTAATAAGTCAAAAATTTATAAAAAGAAATACGAGCTTTGGTGCTCCTTCAAAATAGTTCGCTGAATGTCAAATACCGAAAGTTGCGCAGTTGTCAGATTTTTTGTGCGGTTTTTCTTATTT